CATTACTTTCTATTGTGAGCTTCTCCTCCTCCTCCTCCCTACCCATCGGCATCGCCCAAACGTACTAACACTAGGTGTGCGTCTGCACCCCAGGGGCGACGCGGCCGCGTTCCGTGCCGGGCGTTGTCTTGCCATTCCGTTCGGGAAGCGATATGCTACAATATGTCTGTACTGTAAGATTTGGTCGGACGCGCGGCCCGTACCCATGCAGAGCCTCCCCTGGCACTCCCCGTTGCAGCGCCGAGCCTCAGTGTCGCCTTCGAGCAAATGCTGTCGATGTCGTATTTTTCCCGCTCACGCGCCAGGTCGACGCAACTCCATCTCGTATTGCAAAGCTGCTGGTGACCACGACGACGATCACGATGATATGGTGGTGGTGACGATACTGATGCTGATACTGATGCTGGTGCTGCTGATGATGATGATTCAGCTGCTTCTGCTGCTGTTGCTGCTGATGATGATGGTGATGACTAGCACCCGACGACGATAACAATAACGATGCTGATGACGATGACGATGACGGCGACGACCAACAACGACGAGGACGACGACGATGACGATGACAACGACGATGACGACGGACGACGACGACGACGACGACGATGGCGACGACGACGACGACGGACGACGACGGCGACGATGGCGACGACGATGGTGACGACGACGGCGACCACGATGGTGACAACGATGACGAGGACGATGATGATGAAGATGACGATGATGATGCTGATTATGATGATGATGATGATGATGATGATGATGATGATGATGATGACGATGATGATGATGATGATGATGTTTACCACGACGACGACGATGACGATGGCGGTGATGCTGATGATGCTGATGATCAGGAGGTGGAGGAGGAGCAGGAGGAGAAGGCGGAGGTAGAGGAGGTAGTGGATGGCGATGATGATGGCGGTAATGGTGATGCTGGTACGGTTACTGATGCTGATACTGTTGCTGCTGCTGCTGATTGCGATGATGATGACGATGATGATGATGATGATGATGATGATGATGATGATGATGATGATGATGATTCTGATGATGATGATGATGATGATGATGATGATGATGATGATGATGATGATGATGATGATGATGATGATGATGATGATGATGATGATGATGATGATGATGATGATGACGCTGTTGCTGATGACGGTGCTGAATACGATGATGACGACGATGCTGGCGATGGTGATGATGCTGACGAGGCTGATGCTGATGATAGTGATGCTGATGCTGCCGATGATGCTGATGATGCTGATGATCATGGTTATGCTGATGCTGATTGCGATGCTGATGATGCTTATGATAGGAGTGCGTGCACAGGCATGGGGAGGAGAGCAGCTTGTCGCCGTCCACGCTTGTTCAGCCTTTGCTCTTTGCTCCGCTCCACAGTCTTTTTGGCTCACAGGGTTGAGCCTGCGACCTTCGGCCTGGGCATCTTATGGCTGGAGGGCCCCTCCAGAAGCTGCTGCTGTTGGCGGGCCACGAGGCGCTGACCTACTGGCTTCTGCGCCCCGCGGCGCCTGTGGAACCCGCGTGCCCTGCCTGCGAGTGCGTGTGCCCCGCGGCGCCCGAGCTGTCGTGCCCGCTGCCCAAGGCGGAGAAGGCGCCTGGCGGCTCGCCCTGGCATTCGGTGCTGCAGGCCTTCGGCGCGGGACTGGCAGGACAGCTCCTGGGGCGCGGTCTCTGGGAGTGCGTTCGGCGCGCCTGCTCCTGCTGCGGTCGCTTCCGACGCAATGGCGATCGCGCCGCTCGCCGCCGTGGACTCGGAGTTCTGGAGGACTCTGATGCCGGGGTCTCGGCTGCTGGCATGGTGCGCCGACGACAGCGTCTGGCACGAGAAGCTGGCGGCCTGGCCGATTAGCGGGCCCCACTGGGTGCTCCAGACCCCCGACAAGGACCTCTATGCGGAGTGCTTGGACGGGTCGGACCCCGAGGGGCTCGAGCGGGCGATTCCCTTGCTGGTGGACGGGAGGCTCCCTCGGCTGGGTGCTCAGGCGTATCGGTACCCGCAGCCGCCGACCGAGGACGAGCTGAAGGCCGTGATCCGCGAGGGTGCCGCACAAGCCGAGGAGATCACGCGGGCGGCTGGTCTGGAGCTACAGCGGCCCGAGCGGGTGATGGTGCGCTTCGGAGAGGTCAAGGGGCTGGACGAGTTCTTTGGCGGGAGCTTTCTTCCGCGCCGCCGCACTCGGCGCCCCGCCGCCTCGGGCTCGGCTGCCATAGGCGACGAGTCTCCCGAGGTGTTCCCTGCGCGCGGTCCTGGACCGCCCATCGACGGGCATGTGTGGGTGCTGGCCGAGCCGTCCGTGATTGGGGCGGTGGGCTCCGTCGTGGCGCTCGAGGCGAAGGACGTGCGAGTGGACAAGTACGATGCTTTGGTGGACCGCGGCGACGGCTATCGACGGGTCACCTGCGTTCGATCGGACCTCGTCCCGCAGTTCGTCGCCGGCTGGTGTGGCACGGCGCGTGCGGAGCTGGCGAA